ACTCTTGTAACCTGTCAGGGTCTGTAATAAGCATGAGAGGAACAGAAATGAGAGATGCAGGCTCTGTCTTCAAGGAGAAGAAGAAAATAGCCAAGAGTGTGGGGAGGGCTAAGAAACAAGGCCAGAGGTCTTGGTGGCAGGCTATTAAGTAAGAGCGTGTACAAGGTGGCATTCAGGGAAAAAGCTGCTGGCACGGGAACATGAAATCAAAGTACAAAAATGTGTTACTCTCTCTTCTTGCTTCTGGTGGAAACGTTAGATACATTTCTCTGTTACGCTTTCCCCCAAATTCCTACTGCGTTTTTTTCACTTTTGTTTCTTTGATCTACTATTTATACTTATATAAACAATTTAGTTTATACTGTAAACAATAAAGAAAATCACCAAGGACCATGAACACATAAGCAGAAATTAAAGAGTAAAGTCACTCCAGAAAGTGTTACTCTTTTTACTTAAGCAGAAATAATATCCAAAGGCCAGTGCCCCAATCATGAAGAATAATAACAGTTCCTAATGACTGAGCATTCCCAAGAACCACACACAAACACAAACATTATCTCACCCAGTTGTGTGTGCTAAGTTGCTTTAGTCATGTCAGACTCTGTGCGACCCTACAGACTGCAGCCTGCCAAGCTCCTCTGTCCATGGGATTCTCCAGGCAAGAATACTGGAGTGGGTTGCCATGCCCTCCTCCAGGGGATCTTCCTGGCCCAGGGCTTGAACCTGAATCTCTTATGTCTCCTGCATTGGCAGGCAGGTTCTTTACCGCTAGTGCCACGCAGGAGGCCGTTACATCTTCACAACAAATCTGTGTGGCAATGATTCCAAGATCTTGTTTAAGGATGAAGACACTGAAGTCTGAAAACTGAGTGATGTCATCAAGGCCCAACAGTCCTTTGAGGCAGAGTAGGTATAAATTTGTGGGTCATGTTGACACTCGGTCTACATAAACATTCTATCCCTGCTGCCTCTGGAATGATTTCCTGGGAACCTTTGCACATTGTAAGTTCTCTACAGATACTCAATGTTTTATCAACCAATATTGCACCTTGGAGACAAAGGCATACAGAGAGGAATCTACATGTATACAAAGCTTAGCACTAGTTTGTAAGGATGCTCTCTGGAGTGTGTACATAGAACATACTCAAAGGAAGGGTGGAAATCAACAGAACAGAACCAAAACACATTTAATGTAAAGATATGTTTAGTCTTTGCTCAGATGTGCTTCCAAACATTATTGGCAGAGCCAAGGATCTTCTAACATTATTTCTTTATTTATAGAGTTATTTTATGTAGAGAAGCATACAATTTTTTCCTATTAAGAAGTTTTAAAAATATTACATGGTATGTTTCTAAAGCTTATCATCCAAGGATATGAAAGGAATTTACGGACATGCCCGTTATTTCTGCTAACTAATCTCATTTAGCCATTTCAGAAATGAGTACAATCAAAATGTAAAACTTGGGAATCTAAACTCATTTATTTTCTACTGTAACCACAGGTCATGAATTAAATTCCCAGAGGGAATCTTTAAATATGGAGACAACATGCTAAAAAGTTCTTCCCATTTTTCCTGAAAGGGATACCTTTGGAAAAAAATTTTAATTGTGATAAAATACACATGAAATTTACTAGTTTAACCATATGTAAGTGCACAGTTCACTGATACTAACTACATTCTCTTTGTTGTACATCTCTACATTCCAGCCACAGAACTCCTTTTATCTTTTCAGAACTGAAACTCTGTACCCATTAAACAACAATGTCCCACTTGCAGCAGGTCTTGGCACCCACCATTCTACTTACTGTCTCCATGAATTTAGTACAGTAGGGACCTCATGTTAGTAGAATCATACAGTATTTGTCCTTTGTGACTGGATTATTTCACTTAGCTTAATTTCCTCAAGGTTCATCTGTATTGCAGCACAAGTCAGAATTTCCTTCCTTTCTAGGACTGACTAATACTCCATGGTATACATATATGTACCACATTTTGTTTATCAATTCATCTGTCAATGACTTTTGGATGCCTCCACCTTTTTGCTACTGAGAACAGTGCTGCTATGAACATGAACATGCATATATAGGGATCACTTCAAGATCTTTATTTTAATTCTTTTGGGTTTATACTCTAAGGTAGAATTGCTAGATCATATAATCTATCTTTAACTTTTTTGAGAAACCACCAACTTGTTTTCCACAGTGGCTGCACTATTTTACATTGCTACCAGCAGTGAGCAAAGATTCGAATTTCTCTACATCCTTGCCAATACTGCCAATTCATTTTCTTTCTTTCTTTCATTTTTCTTTTTTGATAGTAGATGTTCTAAGGGGTGTGAGGTGGCATTGCACTGTAGTCTATAAAAACTATATCTTGGTTTCAAAAGTACTTATACATGTATATTACCATATGTAAAATTAGATAGCTAATGGAAATTTGCTGTATGATGCAGGGAGTTCAAATCCAGTGCTCTCTGATAACCTAGAGTGTAGGATTAGGTGGGAGGTGGGAAGGAGGTTCAAAATGGAGGGGACTTATGTGTACTTATGGCTGATCCATGTTGCTATATGTCAGAAACCAAAACAATATTGTAAATTAATTATCCTTCAATTAAAAATAAATTTTAAAAAACACAAGAGTATTTAGAGTAATTTGAGGTATTGTAGAGGCCACGGGTAGGTAGCAACAGCTGTCCTCAGTTGTAAGACCCAAATCTACACTCTCCTTCCCTTTGGGTGCCATGGTGTATACGCTTCCTAATAAACAGGCATTTCAGGGCACAAACACCCACATTCCAGGAAGCACGTTTGCCTAGCTCTTTGTGTCTTATCTCTTCTCTGCTTCTTATATCAACAGGGTGTTTTTCTGAGCTTCCTTTGACAGGCAGATGATGATGGAGTAAAAAATAAAACCTCAAAATCAAAAAAAGAAATCAGCAAGTCTGTCAAAACAGAGGGCAGGATGGAAGTTCAGGACACCAGGCCTACATTGCCCTTGGCAATTTACCTGGACACAATCAAGGACAAACAGTAAAGGCCTAACTGAAGCAGAAGAGATCAAGAAGAGATGGAAAGAATACACAGAAGAACTGTACAAAAAAGATCTTAATGACATGGATAACCACCATGCTGTAGTCATTCTCCCAGAGCGAGACAGTTTGGATTGTGAAGTCAAATGGGCCTTAGAAGGCATCACTACGAATAAACCTAGTGAAGGCAATGGATTTCCAGAAAAGCTACTTAAAATTCTAAAAGATGATGTTATCAAAGTGCTGCACTCAATATGTCAGCAAATCTGGAAAACTCAGCAGTAGCCACAGGACTGGAAAAGGTCAATCCTCATCCCAATTCCCAAGAAGGGCAGTACTGAAGAATGTTCAAACCATGGGACAATTACACTCATCTCACATGCTAGAAATGTTGTGCTCAAAATTCTCCAGGCTAGGCTTCAACATCACATGAACAGAGAACCCATCACTTCAAGGCAGATAGAAGGGGAAAGGTGGAAGTAGTGACAGATTTCCTGTTCTTGGGCTCTGAAATCACTGTGGATGGTGACTGCAGCCATGAAAACAGAAGATGACTGCTTCCTGGCAAGAAAGCTATGACAAACATGGACAGCGTGTTAAAAAGCAAAGACATCACTTTGTCGACAAAGGTCCATATAATCAAAGCTATGGTCTTTCCAGTGGTCACATACAGTTGTCAGAGCTGTACTGTAAAGAAGGCAGAGCACCAAAGAATTGATGCTTTCAAACTGTGGTGTTGGAGAAGACTTTTTTTCAAATCAGTCAATCTTAAAGGAAACCAATCCTGAACACTCTTTGGAAGGACTGATGCTGAAGCTGAAGCTCCAATACTTTGGTCACCTAATGCGAACAGCTGACTCATTGGAAAAGACCCTGATGCTTGGAAAGACTGAAGGCAGAAGGAGAAGAGGACGACAGAGGTTGAGATGGCTGGATGGTATCACCAATGCAATGGACATGAACTTGGGCAAACTCTGGGAGATGGTGAGGGACAGAGAGGACTGGTGTGCTACAGTCCATGGGGTCCCAAAGAGTCAGACACCACTGGGTGACTGAACAACAACAACAGTATACCTGGAGGATAGTAAATGCTCAGTAAATATTCACTAAAATACGTTGATTGGACAAACCACAAGGAAAGAAAGAGCTTCTACTATGTATATAATTCAATTTCTAAAACATTCCCTGAAAGTCATACTTCTTTCAGAAGCAGAAGAAAAGAAAACAGAATCAGAGCTGAGGGAGAGATGGTCAACTCAATGTTCCACCACAACAGCAGCCACGTATCGGGCCTCTGTGTGAGGCACTCTGTACCATGCACTGGCCTATGTAGCCCTCACAACAGCTTGAGGGGTTGGTACCATTAGCTTCCTTTTAAGACAGAGAAAACTCAGGTATATAGAGACAGAATTCTGAGTCCTCTGCCCCTCCTCACTATTCTGTACTGCCTGCCTGGAGAAAATTATTTATTAATGGCTGATTTGTCAAAGTCTCCCCATAGCATCCATACACTCTATAATTCTCAAAGCCCCACAGTTTCACAGAACACCCTCCAGGGACATAATCACCTTTGAAAAGATATCCTCATTTCCTACAGCAAAACTCTGTAAGACACCTAAATTTTGCATTTCTCTAAAGGAACCTCACCAGCACTAAACAATCAATTTACCCTTTTCTTCTCAGAATTATGTGGTTATCAGTGGAAAAAATTGTGGAACCTGAGGAAGTCTGAGTCCAGAAATCCATCTCAGTAAGTTATTAAATCACATGCACACAAAACTAATGAGTGAACACAGAAAGAAAACCTAGTATCTGATGAAAGTGTTTACTGAAAATACCTGCTGCTAAAAATATGCTCTATTGGGGGTAAAAAGAATCAACCCTTTCATGTAATTTGAAAAAATAATCAAAAATAAGTAAACTTAGGTGACTTATAGAAAGAACATGTGAGAATGTTCTGATGTGCATACCTGAGATACAACTGACATTTTCTTCCTTAAATCATGAAGTCCAATACTGGTTGTCCTGATTCCATCAATTTTAACATCACCTTCAGGTTCTGACAATCTAAAGAGGGCAGCAATGAGGGAACTTTTTCCAGACCCTGTTCTTCCTACAATGCCAAGCTGTAAAGAGATTCAGAAGAGATTAAAAATTAACAAGATGCAACAAACCTGGGAGAAACATGATTACTGATGATTAATTTTAAAAGTTCTTTATAAAAAGTAGCCTGTAAGTTTCTCAAGCATGGCCCTGCTGACATTATGGATAAGATAATGCTTTGTTGGGGGTTTAGGGGCCTGTCCTGTGTATTGTAGGATGTTTAGCAGTAGCCATGAACTCTACCAACTAGATACCAATAGCACCCCCTAAATAAATTGTGGCAACCAAAAATTTCAGAAGCTGACAACTGTCCCCTGGTTAAGACCCCCTGGTCCCAAGAAAAGTTAAAAATGACAATCTGCTGGCAGTGAAAAGTCAACGATCTCCTAAGTGGTCCACAAGAAGTCAGCCTTTAAATTACCTTTATTCCTATAGCCTGGGTAATTTGACCTTGAGAATTATGTGACTAATTTTACACAGATGTCAACAAGTGAAGTCAGAAGTCTTATACATAAACAAGTACTCACTTTTTCAGGGGTCTATTATTTAAGAGGAATTATTCTTTGGTAGAAAAACTAAATCACTTCCTGATACTAATATCTTAATTACAGTCTATCTTGAAAGGAAACGTCTTAAAATTATAAAATGCAGATCCTAGTGTCTTAAAAGACAGATGCCAGTAGACAAAATGCACATAATAAGTCTAAATCAACACAAACATTTGCTACTTATATGGGACCTTTCACTGAAGTAGTTCAAAAGGCATTTTATAAAGAAATTAATGCTTGCAATTGCACCTTGGAAAGACACAAGCCAAGCATCAGTCTAGTCATTAAAACCAAAGCAGAGAGAAATTAAGTACTAACTCCAATACTTTGGCCACCTCATGCGAAGAGTTGACTCACTGGAAAAGACCCTGATGCTGGGAGGGATTGGGGGCAGGAGGAGAAGGGGACGACAGAGGATGAGATGGCTGGATGGCATCACCGACTCGATGGGCATGAGTTTGAGTAAACTCCAGGAGTTGGTGATGGACAGGGAAGCCTGGTGTGCTGCGATTCATGGGGTCACAAAGAGTCGGACACGACCGAGCAACTGAAATGAACTGAACTGAACTGAACAATAGGATTGCGGCTTTTCTAGTGGCTCAGTTGTAAAGAACCCACCTGTCAATGCATGAGACTCAGGTTTGATCCCTGGTCAGGAAGATCCCCTGGAGAAGAAATGGCAACCCATTCCAGTATTCTTGCCTGGACAATTCCATGAACAGAGGAACCTGGCAGGCTACAGACCATGGGGCCACAAAGGAGTCAGACATGACTGAGCGACTAATACATATCAATGCAGGAGACGTGGATTTGATCTGTCATCCAGGAAGGTCCAACATGCTACAGAGCAACTAAACTGATGCACCACAGCTACTGAAGCCCACACGCCCTAGAGCTGGGGAGCCGTAACAAGAGAGGCCACCACAGTGAGAAGCCTGTGCACGGCAACTAGAGTTGCTCACTGCAACATCTGATCCCTCACTCATTGCAACTAGAGAAGAAACCGGAGCAGCAACGAAGACCCAGCCACTACAATATTGTAAAGTAATTAGCCTCCAACTAATAAAAATAAATGAAAAAAATTATTTGTAAAAAGTTATGTTTATACTATATTGTAGTTTACTTACTGCACAATAGCATTATGTATAAAAAACAATATTCATACCTTAATTTTCAAATACTGATTGCTGAAAGAATACTAACCATCATCTAAGCCTTTATCAGGTAGTAACACTAAAGAACACGGATCACAGATCAGAATAACAAATATAATAATAATGAAATGGCTTGAAATATTGTGAGAATTACCACAAGGTTAGAGAGAGTTGAACTTAGCAAATGTGTAGGAAAAGTGGTGCCAATGTACTTGGTCAATGCTGAGTTGTCATAAATGTTGCTTGTTTTAAAAAATGCATTATCTGTGAAGCACAATAAAGACAGGTATGCTTGTATTTCTGGGTGTTCTCATACACAAATCAACACACATCAGGACACTGATCTGTGAGAATGAATGCATGTTCCCATGTTATCAACTCTACTTAAACTGATACATCTGTGCAAACAGGAAAATTTGTAAACTCTGGCTAAATGGGCTGAGATATGTAGGGGCACGGAGGGCTGCTAATGACCACAGGACTGTGAGCTCCAAACTCCAGTGAGGAGAATAATAAAAAAACAACAGACTTTGCTGGCAGTCCAGTGGTTAAGAGTTTGTGCTTCCTCTGATGGGGACGAGGGTTCAATCCCTGGTAGAGAACTAAGATCCCACATGCTGTGTGGCCACACACCCCCTCCAAAAAAAGCAACTCCAAAAAACACCTGGCTCTAGCTATTTCCACAGTTAAATCTTTAAAACTATTAATATAGTCTGAATGTCTTATCAGGGTCACCAATGGGTTTTACTAATTCCACACAGAGAGTGTCACCAGTATCAGTAACTTTACATTCCTAACACCAAAGACACCTGGAAAAAATCTTACTTTAGCTGTTTTGCAACAGCCCCTTTCTGTTTTTCCAACCACTTGGATCAGAGTGGGAAGTGCAAGAGACAGTGTTGTGCCTGCAGCAAGATATATGCAAAACAGAAAAAGAGACTCAGATGTATAGAACAGACTTGTGGACTCTGGGAGAAGGCGAGGGTGGGATGTTTCAAGAGAACAGCATTGAAACATGTATATTATCTAGGGTGAAACAGATCACCAGCCCAGGTTGGGTGCATGAGACAAGTGCTCGGGCCTGGTGCACTGGGAAGACCCAGAGGGATCGGGTGGAGAGGGAGGTGGGAGGGGGGACCGGGATGGGGAATACATGTAAATCCATGGCTAATTCATTTCAATGTATGACAAAAACCACTGCAATGATGTAAAGCAATTAGCCTCCAACTAATAAAAATAAATGGAAAAAAAAAAGATACCATGGGAAAATGATTCCACTTTTTGAAATTAAACTGATGTCCAGTAAAATGAAACTATAAAGCCCAGGTTTGTGGATGTGCAGGGAACCAGGCCAGGGTTCATCTCTGACGACCACACCAACTTGTTAGACACTTGCTCCTGGATCTCTCTTCACATATCAAATTCAACATGATCAACATCTAAAGTCCCATATAAAACAGCCACTTCCTCTGAGTTCCCCACTCTACTTCTTTCCCAGGCTCATAGGCATAACTGTCCACCTTACTTCCAGCTTTCCCTGAGTCCAGCATGCTGTCAGCCCTCAAAAAAGCTACTCTTGCAATGTTTCAAGGCTCAATCCCTCATTTTAAGGTCCACATGCACCACCTGAGTGTCAGGCTGCATTATCTCTAAAAAAAATAAAACAAACTATTTTCCTAATCATAACCAGTGCAAATGAATTTTAAAAGTAAATAAAGACTAGCTATACCCTAGAAGTCGGATAAAACCATTCTTAAGATGTTGATGTTTTTACTTTCCAGACTTGTGTTATGTGTTCTTAAAGACACAAAGTCACATATTTAAACAAAATAGGATTAGTATGAACATACTGTTATAACGTATCTTCATTTAGTATTTCATAAAAATATTTATTTTAAATGGCTACATAATATTACACTATATGTGATCATTTATTGAACAAACTCCCTTAGAAAGATGGTAACAATAACCCTATATGCAAAACAGAAAAAGAGACACAGATGTACAGAACAGACTTTTGGACTCTGTGGGAGAAGGCGAGGGTGGGATGTTGTGAGAGAACAGCATCAAAATATTTATATTATCTATGGTGAAACACATCACCAGCCCAGGGTGGATGCATGAGACAAGTGCTCAGGCCTGGTGCACTGGGAAGACCCAGAGGGATCGGGTNGGAAAGATTGAAGGTTGGAGGAGAAAGGGACGACAGAGGATGAGATGGTTGGATGGCATCACTGACTCAATGGACATGAGCTTGAGTAGGCTCCGGGAGTTGGTGATGGACAGGGAGGGCTGCTGTGCTGCAGTCCATGGGGTCGCAAAGAGTCGGACATGACTGAGTGACTGAACTGAACTGAACTCTTATACTGTATCTTCATTTAGAATTTCATAAAAATATTTAAGTGGCTACATAATATTACAGTATATGTGACTACTTATTTAACAAACTCCTACTGGTAGATATTTAGAGAATCTCCAATATTTTGCTATCATAAATAACTCTGTGTCAAATATCCTTGAAGCTCAATCTTTGCAAACAACCTTAATTATTTCCTTCAGATAAATTCTCAGATATGGAATTGCTGAGAATAAGGTATGTACATTTTAAGAGAAAGCTGTTGAGTACTGCCAACCTAGTCCTCCAGAAAAATGATACCATTTTCAACTTCCACCTGTTTCCCTGCATATTCATAAACCTGGATGTTATAGCTTTGTTTTAATTGACATCAGTTTGATTCCGAAAAGGAGTCAATTTCCCAGGACGTCTTACTGGAAACACAACAACTCCTGACTCCCTATCCCCTGCACCTGCCCGCCCGGGTCCACGTGCTCTCGCTTCTCAGATTAAAGCCCTGAAGGTCGGTTCTGTGTCACTCCATGCCAGGACATCTCTTCTGCAAAACTGTCCCCACCGACCTCTCCATCCTTCATGTCCATGAGTCAGCTTTCTTGGGGTCACTAGGTAGTTGTGAGGGTTGGATATGAAAACGTGTGTTACTCACCTTGTAGCTCTTTTCCCTGAATGCCCTGCAGGTACCTAGTTCTTCACTCACTGGATCAGGGCATTGCACCTTTGCTCATGTTGGTCTCACCTCTCAGAATGCCTTTCACATGCATTTCCACCTGCTGAAGCCCTGACCACACATCACTAAGTCTGTCTCACATGACTGATACTTCAAAAATGCTCTCCCAGTCCCCTATGTGTGCTTATCCCAATACTAACAGATGTTGTATTATCTTTTCCTAAACTTCTATAAAAATTCTGACGACCTTCTAGCTTACAAAACTAATATACCTATTTTCTTGTTTCTTCAACTGGCCTGTATATGTTTGACAGCAGAATCTGTATTGGACTTGACTTTTCCTAATTTTAATTCCTGGCGAACCCCGAAAAAAAAAAACCTCCAAAAAAAACCGAAAATTTTTAATCAGGCCAGAGAATTTATGGAAAATCTATCACCATATTATTTAGACATATGATAAGCTGGACAAAGAGAAACATGGCCGTTGGATCCTACAGCCATAAATACAAATTCAAATGCCCAACACCTTATTCTCATGGGACAGACAACAACTTTCGCCATGTAAGTGGTAATGGGCATTTTATACAGTATGAAAACTACAACCATCATTGTCCAAGCATTTACTCTGATCCCTCTTCTGGGTGCTTTACATGTCTTATCTTGTTTAAGTCGTACAACAACACTACAGGTTAGGTCCAATCAATTCCATTTTTCAAAAAGAAAACTGAGGCTTAATTAGTCTGCCTGAAATTTCAGAGTCCATTAAGTCATAGGATGAGACTCAAACCAACATCAGTTGGCCTCTTTTTCCACTCTGCTAATGAAGTCCTTAAACCTGGATGACCTGGCACCTTATCATGTCCCTCTGTGTAGCTAGAACAGAGAAGGTGGGTAGAGGTGTACCTGAAGTTAAAGGAATGGGCTTACCATAGAGATCCTGTGGCTGGAGAATCGAAGCATGATGACAACATGGGTACATATAACACGGTGAGTGGGACAAGAGGGATGACATCACTGAGTAGAGACAGTACTTGAGGGCAGGTGGGCTGGCTCTCAGCAAGAAGAACCAGCACCCACAGCTGGGATGGAAGAGAAACCTGCAGCTAAGTGGGGCAATGGTTCCCCAGGAGACAAGCCAAACAGACCTCCTGCCCTACTTGGGGAGCAAGACTCATTTTTTATCCCATCAGGTGGTGAAAGAGCCGCACATACACTGCTGGGTTGGACTGTCTCTGACTCCAGGTTCAGGCAGGGCTGAAGCTGTAGGAAATCCCTCCAGTCCCTGCAGGAGGCTCGTGTTGTGAAGGCGGGAGCAGGATGAAAACTGCCCGTGATGAAGACAGACTCCACTGAGAGGATGCAAAGAAATGCAGTGGAATCACACAGAGTTGAATTATAAAGTATAAGTGCAATTTGCAGAATGTGAAAGTAAGTAAATCTATAGGGGAAGTGGCACAGAACTTTCTAGAGCCTCATGCTCAGTCATAACAGGGACTTGGGTAACTCTTGAGCTCAATTGCAAACTGTCAAAGGATGTTTAATAGAAATCACAGGTTACCACTCATCAGAAATGCCTATGGGAGAGAAAGGAATTTACCAGAAGGTCTTGTTCAAATGTGATGCCAAATCAAGAGGTCTAGATGAGCTTGAGACTCTGCATTTCTACAAAGCTCCAGGAGATGTAGGAGCTGCTGGCCCTGGCAACACAGTCTGAGTCACAAGGAATTAGAAAGCCGGCAAGGTGAGTGGGACAATCTGGGGTGAGGAGAGGGGTTGCTGAGGAGATATTATGTAAAAAAGAAGAAAGTGTAGGAAACTAATATTTTTGCACATTACAGCAAGGTCTAGTAAGCATCTCTAAAAGTGTATTCTAGAAGTAAGAGCTCTGAGCAAGAAAAAAGTAACAAACCAAAACCAATCTATCTCAAGAGCTGGAAAAATAAAATGGCCCAGAACTCTAAAATCATTAAATCAACCACAAAACCATTTAAATGAAAATTGCAACCAGTGTTCAGAATCTAACCGGGAAGATTAAGGTGCTATTTACCTCATTTGGGGTCTCTATTTTTACTTGCTATTTCTTCCATGAATTAGGATTCTATGTAGTACCTACTGCACTCTCCTATTGACTCTAGCTTTCAGGAATCAGGACAGCAGAGGAAACAATGAGAAAGCCCCATTTCTGCTGGGCAGGCTCACTCCCACATCCCCTGCAGCAGCCTCTTTCAATCAAACCCAACACCAAACAGGGACCCAGAGTGATGGGGTGGGGCCGGCTAGCAGGAAAGGAAGTCTGGGATGTTCATGGGTGGAGTAGAATCACTTCCTGAACACACTACATGGGTATCATCTCCAAACACAGAAATGAAGCTAACGATGATAAGGCAGAAGGGGACGACAGAGGATGAGATGGTTTGATGCCATTACCAACTTAAAGGACATGAGTTTGGGCAAGCTCCAGGAGTTGGTAATGGACAGGAAGGCCTGACCTGCTGCAGTCCATGGGGTCGCAAAGAGTCGGACACAACTGAGCGACCGAACTGAACTGTGATGGGGGAGCGGACCAAGTAAGAGATCAAAAGTCAAATTACCACAGTCATTAATTGTTTCCAAATTCAATTTGCCCTCAAACATTTTAGAATCTCAATAATCCTATAATTTGCAATTTTTAAGAAGCAAGAATAGAATCTATCATGTTCATAAGTTGTACTGCAGGGTTTCTTAAATAATTCCTATTTTATGGCTTTGGGGAAAATTAAGACAACTGCAAGCTAACAGAATCACATTTACAACAGGAAATCTGACAGACACACTGTCTGAGAGTAAGCTAACATCACCTACAGTGCTCTCAGGGTCAGGATTGTATCAAGAGCTTTGGTTAATGTTTTCCCAACAAAACAGTCCTCAGCTTCTTCCTGAACTACCATGGAACTGGAAATAATTATGTCACTTTTAGTGCTGCAACTAACTGAAGCTGCTCCCTGGGTATCATTCTGGCAATAAGTTGAATATGTATTTTCATGTTACAAGGGTATCATTCATTAAATTACAGCTAGAGTCCACTTGGGGTTGCGGTGGGAAGAGTTAAAGAACAGTTTTTTTCAACTGTTCATGCAGTTGTCTTGTGTGTATGTTCTGGTTACTGGCTGCTCACACCTGTGCGTTACTCACCCTTGCAGACAGCAGTCCCACAGCACCCTCCCTATGCCCTGCAGAACGCCACTTTCTAGGGAACAAACATGAAAATAAGATGCTCCTTGATTTTAAAAAGCCTCACAGTACTGTGAGATACAGACCTTAAATTACAAAGCACGACACAGACGCTATCTTACATTTTAATTACGATAAAGTTCACATAACATAAAATTTACCTACTTAATCATTTTTAAGTGGATGATTTAATGTTAGTACATTCACATGGTGTGCAACCAAGCTTGAGAATTTTTTTTTTTTTTGCATCATAAAACTGAAATTCTATAACCATTAAACAAACAACTCCCCATTGCCACTCCCAAGTCCCTGGATACCACCATCCTACATCCTGTCTTCCTGAATATATTCATAGAATTTCAGCACCTCACATAAGCAGAATCAGTATTTGTTCCTTTCGTGTCTGACATTTAGCAAGATGTTGTCAAGGTTTAGCCCTAGGTCAGAATTTTCCTCCTTTTAAACATTGGATATTTCATTGTAAGGATTAGTTCCTTCCAACTTTTGGCTGTTTTGAACATAGTTGTACTGTGAATGCTACCTTAAAAGAATATATAGATCCTTAGAGACTGAGATCGCTGGGCGAGTGGCGTAGAGCCTGCCAGGAGTTGTAGTCCGCAGCGCGACCACGCGCCTGCGCCATGGGCAGCTGACCCAGCAGATTCTTTACCAGCTGGGCCATAAGGGAACCCCAAGAATACTGAAATGGGTAGCCTATCCCTTCTCCATCGGATCTTCCCAACACAGGAACTGAACCAGGGTCTCCTGCACTGCAGGCGGATTCTTCACCAACTGAGCTATCAGGGAAGCCCCCTTTTTCTGTTGAGGTGTGGTTAATTTACAATGTTGTGTTATAGGATATTGCAAGATATTGAGTATAATTCCCTGTGCTATACACGTATACATAGGTGGCTCCACCTGGAGAATAACAGAAGTAAAAAAATTGGAATCTGCCACTTCAAGTTCCATATAAATTGCACATTGCTGGAAGAGGGCAATGGCTGTGGCCCTGGGTTGTGCAATCCAGGCCTCCTTGAATCAGGGCTCAGTGTTTCAAGAATATGATACTGACTGTGAGGTCTTCCACCAGCGCTTCCGGCAGTTCCAGTTCAAAGAAGCAGCTGGGCCTCAAGAAGCTTTCAACAAACTCTGGGAGCTCTGCTGTCAATGGCTGGAGCCAAAGATGCGTCCTAAGGAACAAATCTTGGAGCTGCTGGTGTTGGAGCAGTTCCGAACGATTCTCCCCACAGATAGAGACCTGGGTGAGGGAACACTGCCCAGAGAACAGAGAAAGAGTTGTGTCACTGATAGAAGACTTACAGAGAGAACTTAAGATACCAGAGTAGCAGCTCGATAGGCAGGAAATGCTCCTGGAAGAACTGGCACCAGTGGGAATAGAACACATACCACAAAACATCTACCTGGAGTCACCCCCACTCCAAGTAATGGGACCTACCCCAGAAGTCCCAGTGGCAGAGGCATGGATCCCACAAGCCCGGCCACAGAAGCTGAACTTCAGTGCTGCTGGGGAAGGCCAGCCCTTTCTCAACCCTGGATACCCAATACCAAAACTTGATGTGAGCTTTCCATTGGAACATAGAGAAGAGGCATGGGTGAAGGAACTGCAAGATTCCAAAGAAATTAAGCAATTACTTGACTCCAAGTTAGGCTCTGAGATTGGAATAGAAAATGAAGAAGATACATCAGAAAAACAGAAAAAACTGGAGAATATTTATCCATTTATTGTTACTTTAGAGGGGAATGCTCTTCATGGCCCCATTTTGCAAAAAGACTATGTACAGTTAGAAAATCAATGGGAAACCCCTCCAGAGGATTTACAGAGAGATTTCACAAAACTTGTAGAGCATCAGAACCCCTCAGCAGGAGAGAAACCTGAGAGCTCCAACTTGGAAGAACCTCTCAACCCAAGACCCCATTAAGAAGAAGAGTCCGGTTAACAAACCTCACCGAAGTTAGTGTGGGAAATGTTTTGCTCGAAAGTCACAACTTACAGGGCACAAGAGAATTCACTCAGGAGAGGAAACTCATAAGTGCCCTGAATGTGGAAAGAGATTCCTCCGCAGTTCAGACCTTTACAGACACCAACGACTTCACACAGGGGAGAGACCCTATGAATGCACTGTGTGTAAAAAGCGATTCAGTCGGCAGTCACACCTTATAGGGCACCAGAGAGCCCATTCCGAAGAAGAAACATATAAATGGCTCGAGTGTGGGAAAAGCTTTTGTCATGGATCAAGTCTTAAAAGACATCTGAAAACTCATTCGGGAGAGAAACCTCATAGATGTCAAAATTGTGGGAAGAGTTTTAGTAGGCTGACAGCTCTTTCTTTGCACCAGAGAACACACACTGAAGAGAGACCTTTTAAATGTAATTATTGTGGGAAAAGCTTTAGACAGAGCCCAAGTCTTGTTCTTCATTTAAGAATTCATACCGGGGAGAAGCCACACAAGTGTAGTCATTGTTCTAAAGCTTCAGAGAGAGAGCAGGCCTTACTATGCACCAGGTCACCCACTTCAGAGGACCTCTTTAAGGACTGTTAAAGGAAACAAATCCTACAGAGATTGATAACTAGCCCCAAAACAAAACCTTAAACATGCCGCAGCCTGTTTGTCTTGGAAGAATTCTTTTGTTTGAGCTTGTAAGAAAAGGTTTTTTTTTTCTACTTTAAAAACCCATCTTCCAAGTTATATAAATTCTAGAGTATCTACCTACTCTTTCAGTTTTCATAGATTTGATTTATTCTGTCTCTGCAATTCATTTTTTATTACATTGACAATTTTTGTGAACCAAACCAACCATATCATAAATGTCAGCATAAAAATAATGGCAATCCTTTTCAGGGTAGGGTCAACATAATGGATTATCATATTTATCTGGCATATCTATTACAGTATTACCATAATTATTCTGCTGTCATTATTAAAAGTGATCATATTAGTTTAACACTTCATGTGTGTCCCAAGTGGCAACAAAGGAGATAGTGTATTTTATGAAATAATAAAAATGTGTTAGGAAGACATGGATGAAGAGAAGTTCGTTCGCCTGCTATGAACTGGGTTCTTTCCATTGAAATTTTTGTTTTTGAAGAAATTAGAATTTTAATCTTTACTTTTGAAATTTGCAAAGTTGACTAATCTGCTTAGTTGGCAGTCTGGGGTGATGCTGCTCAGAGCTGAGTATTGGTTTGATGATTTATTTTGATCCCAGGATAAGTCAACTCTTTGTGGAAGAACCCATTTGCCAGTTGAAGTCATACAAGTAGACTCTAATTTAATTTACACTGACTGAGGAACCAGTATCCATTGCTTTTCATTCTCCTTTGCTATTCAACTGTGTGTCTCTCAGTGCTTTAAAATTTTACCCATTCTTTAATTCAGTGTCTCCCTAAGTGTGTGTCATAGAACACCTATTTCTATAAGATAGTTTGCAAATAACTTTGGGAATCCCTTCCTGCTGTTTCTGCTTTGTAGATTTACAGTGCACATCAGCCTATGAGGATTCTGAGAGGTCCTCTCATGAAGGTGGAAAAAGTACCTCTTTTGGCTCAGTGTTTTGCAATCCTGTTTGACCCCAGGACCCGTTTTCATGTATACCCAATAATAACCCACAGAGCTCATATTCTGCAAATATTCTTGGAACACACTGCCTTTAACACATATTTCTAAAGCTATCTGTATAACCTGATTGTTCCCAAGCCTAGCTATTTTCAGTTGCTTCAAGGGTACTATGAAAAAATCTTTACACTTATTTTTTTTATGTAACATAAACACATCATTTAAGAAGGTGAGGGTCAGTAATTCAGATATTTATGTGTTGCTCAGTGATTTGTAACCTCTTTGAATTTTACTTATAATCTCACACACACATTGCTACTTATATAAATGTTTTCATATACTAGTGGTAATGACTCAAGTTCCTATAGCAAAGGAAGAATTCTCTTTGTCAGTTAAAGCTATTAATACATGAAAATATTCATTCAGCCTAGTTCCTTGTTAAAAAATGCAAGCAATAGGACATTCAAGTATTTTCCTTTGTGAAGATACCAGTCATCCTTTCCTTAAACTTGAATTAGGGAAAGTATATATTTTTTCTATTCCATTAAAGTTCTTGCAACTGATGTTTAATATAAGCATTGTGGGGGTATGTACTATGTACCTAACTAGTCCTGTTCTAGGCTTAATGGAAACTATTAAAAATTAATTCATAAAGAGTTTATAATATCTTTAGTTAAACAAGAGTTGGGAAACAAATGGAGGGCAGTGCAAGAGAGTTTGTAGTTAAGTGTCAATTCATACCAAGTACTAGAGCCAGGATGTGTCCTTCATTTTTGTCATCCAGGTCCCAGTATGATGCTGCTATAAGTTTGGGGATAAAATTGAGATCCCAGTAGCAATAAACATGGAACACGGGAGGAGTCTGAATGTAGAGGTAAATAATACTGAATGTAATGGCTTCTCTTTTCTCTCTTGTGGAATTGCATCCAAACCAGGACAGTGCCTTAGAATGGATGTGCCCAAATGCTCTGTATCTATGCAGTATCTTAATAAAGTAAAAACGTAAAAAAAAAAAAGAATATATAAGACACTGAGGAAGAACTGAGAGTCTTGTAGATGCATTAGAGTCACCTCAGAAAATGAGGAGACTTTCACCATCCAGATGACAGAGGGGAAGGTCTCTGAGGCAGAGGGCAGACTGCACACTGGAAGCTGGGAGGATGTGATGCTTTGGGAGAGCCAACACACAACCCGAGTGCAGTGGTGTCTATAAGTCAGGAGACGTTCTGGCTGCCGAGGGAGGTGAAGAGGAGCTTCCTACCAACTTGTCTGCTCTGGTTTATTCTCTTCTTCAAGACTCTGCCCTGGTCCAGGCCAAGGGCCTCAAGCTGAGTATGAAGGAACATCACAGCAGATGTGGACACTGGCAGGCTCAGGTCACAAGCCTCTGCCATCTCCCACGTGGATCTTCCCTGCTCTGTTCAATCTGCTTTTGACTTTGAGCAAATCTCTAGGCCCTGCCTCCATCAGAAGCCCTGATTCCTCACCCCTGACTGAGTCATGATTCAGGCTCTCCTCTAACAAGGAGCTCACCCCATGGCCCCTGCTGGAGTGGACGTGGGGCTGTGCTCTGGCTCAGCAGCAGCTCTCCCAGCCCAGTAAGGGTCAGATCTGTGCTAAAGAAAGGAGCAGTCTGTGGGGGGAGGGCAGGGGCATGGCAGCTCAGCGTGGATGTGTAGGAGGACAAGTCTACAGGAAAGACCAAGGGACAGAGGAGCAGGCTGCAACCAGAGGGCACCGTGGGAGGAAGAGAAGATTTCAGAAACACAAAGAAGAAAAGATGGAAAGAAGATACTGGAGAATTAGGGACAGGGAGCTAGGACTGACTTCCCAGACTTTGTATGAATAATCAGGTGTCACATATAGTGTCCTGGGTCAGGTTAAAATTGAGCCCAGGAGCCCAGGGCCCACCAGCCACCATGAGGGAGCTCACAATACAGGGGATAAAAAATGCTTGTAGCCCCATTCCATGGTCAATTTCCAAGCAAGATTCACCCACATATCACTGATTAAATCTGCACCCATGAGGTACAAAGAGCCCTCCCCTCTGACACACTGACAAGGAAGCCAAGAGCAGACGTGGTGCTAAATCTTTAGCTGGATTTTAAAGAGGCAAATGGCTTAAACTAACCTTTGCTCTTGGGTCAATGACCGTGTACACGTTCTTCAATACCAGAGGCCCATCCAAGCTGTACCTGAAGTTAATATCAGAAAAGTAAATCCATCCTACATGGGGCCAGGATGGTGGTGGACGATACTCATATTCCCAGGGCGCTTCTTTCTCAAGGTCTGTATATTCAATCACTCTTTCTACTGAAATCATCTGAAACACATATGACATCACATGAGTTAGTATCAGAGAGTCTTGTTTATGGATGTTCAGAGACTGTAAATGAGACATTTTGTTTTTTTTATCTTTATATCTGATTTTATATGGTTCAGAATATCCCAGCTCTTAGCATCCACAAAAGACAGAAACAGGAGTTTGATGAGGCCTTGGATGATTTACAAATTTGTTCGTCATCTTCAATACTTTTACTTCAGCCACTTCCTCCAACTTTATATTAACACTAAAAGAATTAGAGAAATCAATAGTAAGATTTTATTGATCCACTTTTCACACCTGAATGAAAAACAAGAGCATTTTGTCAAAGAAAAGAATATTTACGGACACCAATCAGTAATGTGTGGCTACAGAAGGGTCATGTATTACACCAGATAACAGAACTGGATGGTCATCAAACCTCCATTTAATTATCAGTCATTTTCTATTCTATTAGAAGAGAGAAGGGGAAAGATTTCATTTTGATTGTTTTTCTTCCTTTAGGAGAAGCTGCAAATATTCAAAAGTGCATAATTTACATATTGACCAAGGCCTCCTACACAACCATGACTCCACATCTTTGAGAGCAGAAAGAAGGGCCACCAGAAAATTCAGGTGTTCAGCACATACAAGAATAAATGATAAAATGGGGCAGGGGCAGAAGATAGGAACATATCAATTAAAGAAACCTCAAAACACTGAATTCTTTATTTTATAAAATATGAGGAACCACCCATTAAGAAACAAAGAAAAACAAGCTGCTAAGAAATTAGCTTCTCTCCAGGATTTCAGAACCTCTCTCCTACAGAGACATTTATTGTATTTAAGGACAGTTTGTGATGAATATAAAACCTTCTGACATGGTACATGTAAGACTGAGAAAAGATGTATATATTTTATTTTACATTAACTTTAAGCAGATGGAGAAGAATGTTAAAAAAACTTTGTTAACTAAGATGTAAAAATAATAGTTTTACTACTTGACATAAGAATTGCTTTTATGCCATTTAACAGCAAGGAGACTTGAAAATGCTAAGAATGGAAAGACAAACATCACCATATTCTCCACTTCAGCACTTTGCCTGACGCACCACTGGAACATCCCCGTGAGTGTGACGGTGAGAGACAGCACCAGGCCAACCTGCCCGAGATCCAAAGCTAAATGAGGAAGAAAAGGAATCAAGTCAATCTCCTTCTCAACCCCTCACACAGCTCCTTCGTCACTTTATGAAGAAGAGTCCTTTATTTTTATGAGTTTTAATGGAGCATAGTTGATTTGCAAAGTTGTGTTAGTTTCAGGTGTACAGAAATGTGAATTTGCCATATATATATATATATATATATACATATATATATACACACACATATATATAAAATCCACCCTTTTAAAGTTATTTTGCCCACATATGTCATTCAGTTCAGTTCAGTTCAGTCGCTGTCGTGTCAGACTCCTTGCGACCCCATGAGTTGCAGCACGCCAGGCCTCCCTGTCCATCACAAACTCCCGGAGCTTACTCAAACTCATGCCCATCGAGTCGGTGATGCCATCCAGCCATCTCATCCTCTATCGTCCCCTCCTCCTCCTGCCCCCAATCCCTCCCAGCATCAGGGTCTTTTCCAATGAGTCAACTCTTCGCATGAGGTGGCCAAAGTACTGGAGTTTCAGCTTCAGCATCAGTCCTT